ACTTCCATGACTACCATGTCCAGTTATGAAGATCTAAGGGAATGACGTTGACCTACTAAAGAAATCAGGCTGACAGTTGACTAATTCCTAATGCTCTGAGCTGACTGCCAAATCCCACTAAGAACAAAGATATTGTTTAGACCTGCAAGGGGATGTTATCAAACCTAAGTTAGAAAATAGTCTCCATAATCTGGTCATAACAAAGCAGAGCAAATTCAGGAAGCTACATCTGAGGATATCCAGCTGCAATAGCTAGGGATGATCATCATCAGTGGATGGCCCAAACATATTCAACAGGCCTCTGAGCAAGCACATTCTAAGATGAACTATGACTGTCAAGGAATGTAATTTTCAAAGTCAAACAAATGATTATTCCACAAGATGTGCACCAAGAGATATACGTGACCATTTATACATTGGTCACATAGGCACAGAAAAAGCCAAGAGATTGGCACATGAATTCATCTATTGTCCTGCATCAATTAGGACATCCATCAACTTGATCAAGTCATGTGAAACATGTCAATTTCATTGGCGTCAGCAGTCTGAAATCCACATGATATTCCTTCTAAGTCATGATGCAGGATTGTAACTCATATTTTTCATGTCTAAAGACATGACCACATTCTGGTAAGTGACGATTTCACCAAATTCCCTTTTGTGAGATAAATGAAAGATAGCACTCATGCAACAGTTTTCTCATGCATTTACCATCATACTCAGTACGTTTAGTGTTTTTCTGCAAATTATATCAGACAACTGTCACCAGCACACAATTCAAGTTCATGCAAGAAATTTGATCTTCAATGTGTTACCTCTTATTTTCCCTTTCCTCAGTCTAATGGTATCATAAAATGCACTGTTTATATGATAAAATCCATGATCATTACATGGAAAGAAACTTGCCAATAACTAATGTTAAATCTAATATTACTTATCTCGGCAATGGTTTACCTCTACCAGCAACTTTCAAGACTGGAGGACAGATGCATCTAGTTCTTCCGTTACACAATGTATCATTGGAAAGAAAGGAGAAAATGGTACATGAGCCTGATCAACAAGTATGCAAAGGCACCGCAACTTGAGCCAGGACAAAGCATCAGTGTTCAAGATCTTTGCATGAGTATGTGGTTTGTGGAAAGTTGGTATAAGAAAAGTCTAGCTTTGGGCCAGGCGGCACAGGTTCAAGTCCCACCTTCCCCTGACACATCATAATGTTTCTGAACAGGTTGACTAAAAATCTCTGCAATCTTCAAACGGCACTTCTTTGGTTCCTGACTTTCAGCTGCAGAATGGCTGAATGTATTTGGCATTGAGAAATGATAAGATGCCTCCGTGAATAGCTTCAAGTAACTGTGATGACAGAAGATGGTGAAATTGAAATTGAAATTGAAATTGAAATTGCGAAAACGCTGAAGAAATGATACCTTCACTAGATCCACCAAATTTATTGAGAAGGGTATCATCTCCCTAAGCCATTTTGCTGAGCATCAAGCACTGAAAACTCAGAGCCAGCTTCATTAGACATGTTTTTCGTATGCCTGACACTATATTCCTGAGGCAACTACACCATTGTTGTGGTAGAAGACTCTCAGGAAACCAGTAGAAAGGTTTTGGGGATATCATAGAATCCCTACAGTGCAGAAATAGGACATCCAGCCCCTCCAAAGAGCATCCCACCCAGACCCATTCCCCTACCCCTGCATCTGTCATGTCTAACACACCTAACCTAAACATCCCTGGACACTATGGGCAATTTAGCATTGCCAATCCACCTAACCTGCACATCTTTGGACTGTGGGAGGAAACTGGAGCACCCAGAGGAAACCCACGCAGACACAGGGAGAATGTGCAAACTCCACACAGACAGTCACCCCAGGCTGGAATCGAACGCGGGTCCCTGGTGCTGTGAGGCAGCAGTGCTAACCACTGAGCTGCCCATCTTTAAGGAGGTGAAACATATCTGTCACACCATGGAGACCATGGCTTGTGACCCACCAAACTGGAGCAGGCTCATTCAGAAGGCACCAAACAATTGGAACGCTGTCAGAAATGAGCTAAGGGAAAGTTAAGATGTTGACGTGAGTTCACAAAACCTCCAAACAACCCACCTACCCAACCCTTCAAGGGCCACCTGTACTTCGTGGGGAAGAATTTACAGATCACACATTGGACTTATCAAGTACCTCAGAAATCATTAAACCAAAGTGAAGAATTCAAGTCATCCGTAATCCTAAGCAAGCACCCAACAGATATGCAACAGCACCATCAGCAGGAAAGCAACAGTATCATAACACAGCATTTTTCTTCAAAAGGTTACATTTATGTAGCATCTTTCACATCCTCAGGGCAATTGATAAAGCTTCTGTCTGATGAAGCGTTCTGAAAACATAGCTACATTTTGAATGTGTCAGCCAACATGTAATCAGTAGGTTCCATGAATGGAAATGAGATAAATAACCAGATTATCTGTTTTATTGGTGGAGTTGGCTGCACAGGTTGGGGGAGAGGTGATTAATCAAGGAGAATGCCCTTGCTTGCCATTGGAAGGTATTTTTAATATTCACTTGAGAATTACAGATTATTTTGTAATTGAAAAATAGACCACTTGCCAATGCAGTGCCCCATCATTACTGCACTGACTATGAACTGGGATTATTTGTTCAATTCACTTATCAAGCCCTCAACCTACTGACTCAGAATTGAAATTGCTATTCATGAGGTAACTGGGTAAATTACTTACTCATTTTTGACCCTCCTTGTTCATATTTTCCATACAAACAATTTACTGATTTTACTTCCTCAAAGACATCAAGAGTAATTTGCGGTGAAGGTATTTTCTGATCAACCTGTTCTGATCACACCCCTGGAGCTGGTGATACTTGAACCCAAACCTGCGCCTCCTGGTCCAGATGTAGGATCACTACCATGGTGCTACAAGAGCACTACCAATTCAGGGTGAAGTTATGTCCTAAGCAACCTGGTCAGAGATGTTATTGTACAACTCTGGAGCTGGTGGGCCTTGGACACAGACCTCCTGGTTCAGTGGGAGGGTCACTATTATTGCACAACAGCCACCATACAACAGCCACTCTGTTCAGAGAGGTTATGACACTTAAGCAGATGGGACTTGAAACTTCTGGTTCGGAGATAGGGACACTACCACTGCTCCACAAGAATCCTCAGTTCAGTGAACTTTATAGTTTAAAATGAATGATGCCTGTGGACCTTGTTAATCAATTGCAGCAGGTAGACTAGATGTCACCAAGTTTCTGAACCTCAGCAAGTTGGACTCAAAGTTGATCACCAAAGGCCCAGTAAATTGTGAAGTGGTTGCTGCCCCTTATTCAGCTCCAATGTTTGACATAGGAACATTGAGGAAATTCTTTGATCCAAAGTCAGAAGTTACATGACACCAAGTTATAGTCCAACAGATTTATTTGATATCACAAGCTTTGGAAGTGCTGCCCCATCATCAGTTGAAGGACTTTACCCCAGTCCAACACCAGCACCTCCACATCATGGTTTTGATCCAAAGCTTAATCTTTCCTGACTCCAATTAGTAAAATGCAGCCTGTTGACCATCAAAACTGTAGCAATTGCTGCAGATGCAGAAAATCTGAGACAGAAAATAATGGGAACACAGTAATTCAGGCAGCATCTGTGGAGAGAGAAGCAAATTTAATGTTTCAGTTCGATGACCTTGCATCAGAACACAGTGACCTTCCTGAGATACATTAGGCAATGGTATATATTTATTTTAATTGAAGTTTTATTTGCTTGTCATTTTCATTTTAAAGCTATGGAACTCAAGTGTCCATTCAATTCTAGGACATTGTAGTAAATTCAGTTCAGTCAAATGAGTTTTCCCTCTGTTCCATCTAAGGATTCAAAATGAAGCTGACAATAGTATTTAAGAGGCCATATGCCTGTAGGTCCTAAAACCTGGGATATTACACATCTCCTGCTCTCCATATCATTCTTTCAGAAATCCTCAAAATCTACAGCTTTGACCAATTTTGGTCATCTGATTTCACCTTCCATGACTTATTTTGTAATGCTCGTGAAAAACACCTTGAGATGTTTAATCATTTGTCTTTTCCTCTATTTGCTAATTCTAATAGGATGGGAATTGAAAACTACAGTGTTTATCATGGAAAACATCATGTCGTGTTGATTCCAATTTGATTGGTAAAATTGGAGAGCAGTGGAAGGAACACTCAAGATCGACACAAACAAAAACAGAAATTGCTGGAAAAGCTCAGCAGGTCTGACAGCACCTGTGGAGAGAAATCAGAGTAAACCTTTCCGGTAGATTGAACCTTCCTCAGCACTCAAAACTCAAAATTGTCAGTCTTTTCACAATGACGTTTATTTGGTGAAGAAAATGGAAATGTCAAACTGGGGTTGAAGATGTTCTGAAGATGGATTTGCCTCACTTATGACTGAAGTAGAGAATGCTTTCTCTAACATTCAGAACATGCTGTAGCTGAACGGGGAGTGTTTGAAATGTTTGCTGGCTGTAACTGGTTAAAAGAATCTGTGAGGTACACTGAAACTGTTCCTTTAAAAAAATGTGCAATTACAGCATAGCCTCAGCAAAGTTATGAAACTTTCCACATGCCACTTCTGCGATTTGTGGCAAAATAAGAATTGTCTTCAAATCCACTTGCAAATGGCTGTTTTACAAATAAAGCAGGAAAGTTATTCTAAGCGCTGTGGATTGCTATCCCCAGGGAGACATTACATTACATGTTAATGACACCTTACCTGTAAACCTGTAGCGTGACAGAAAAGATCCCCAATTCTCTGTTGTGTCATATAGAGAATTACATCAGGACACACCCCGGAATAGTAAGTGTATGTACAACTTGAGTAAAGCTGAAACCTAGCCAATAGATAGTCCGCGAGCGATCGGAGCCTGTTCAGTTTTCAATAATTTCTCGAGTTGGGAAGTTGTAGCCTGCTGAATTCGCTGGTAAGTCTTTTTTCTGAACACACTTTCTGCTGTCTACTTTTGGGTTCCCCCTATCTAGATCAGACGTGGAACAAGATAGAAAGGACTAGCCTGTCTTTTGAGCCTGATCTTTGTCTTAGCTAATGTTGTAAATTCTTTTAAACTCGCACCTTCACATGACACAAGTGTTTGATCAGCGTTTTAAAAGTCTCCAATCTGAGAGCCTACCAGTCCGGGGAAATGAAAGTAAAGATTGGGCACAGGACTGTTTACTTACAATTAATCAAGACTGAAGTATCTCCGGAGCTCAAAGAAGGGTATATCACTTGAGTGATTTTAATCTCTTTAAACTTTCCTTGTTGAAACCTATTCAGTTAGGGGATGTTGCGTTTTAATTAAAAACAGGTACAGTCAGAACACCTAAAATGCCGCTGAATTGATTCCAAAAAATACGTCAACTAAATTTAAACGGATGCGCTCCAAAAATAATCCGACTGACTGATTTATTTAATCCGCACTTTATGGGAACTGTCTTGTGTCTTGAAGTGGTGGCTGTCATTGATACGGAGCATAAAACTCCCGCTGACCATCCTGCTATGTTTCTGAGGTTTGCTGTTGTTAACATTTTGTGTCTAGAAGCCACTGAAATGCATTTAAGGGTTTCCCCAAACAGAAAGTTCACCAGTATAAATCATGACTTTTATATACATTTGATGGTGTAATGACGGTAGCTGCTGCGCCATTATTTGTTGTTTAATTGTATTTTAGTTTGAAAATATAAAGGACTTTGAGAGAAAGCTCTCCAGCCGGAAACTTGAATCCTGATGTTACTATGAGAGTACAATTTTCCAAGTTGCTTTGTATCCACTGAAATATATTCAGATACTTGGCACCACACCTTTAATTGATAACGGGCACTTAATTAAGCTTTTTTGAGAGGATTTTGTCTCCCTCTCTTTTTACAATTCCAGATGGCGCGCTATTAAGGCTGAAAAACAATTTAACTCCGAGGCCTCTGGCAATCTTACTTTAAAGCTGGCTGATGCATGTGCTATCCTTTCCTCTGAATCAGCAATGAATCGGAAGGCTGTAATTCAGATTTGGCCTGGAATAGAGAGCTGCGTTGAACATAATTTGAGTTTGTTGTGTTTAGAGATTAAATGCAGCTGTTGTTTTTCACAATAACGCTCAATAGTAATCCTTCTGTTGGCAATTATAACTCTTGCTAAACCGTTGATAATATGTGAATGAATCTCCCTTTCTCTTCCTTCCTATCAACCTTCATTAAGATTTATTTCAATATCAATTTCCCTACCTAACAGTGTCTACCACTGTCAATGCCTCCACAAGTCTTTAATGGTTTTTATATCAGGGAAAGGATGCTCACCTGACGAAGGAATAGTGGTCCAAAAGATTGTGAGTTTAAATAAACATGTTGGACTATAACCTAGTGTCATGAGACGTCTGACTAATTTAGAAGGTAAGGGCTTCAACATTAACTTCAGGAACCTTACCGGCATATTGCTGAGAGAATGCTATGCTGACAAACCTGTTCTCTTTTGGGTGAGACCTGAAAAATATCTGCCATCTCAGGTGAACGTAAATGATTCCATTTCAAAAGAGCAAGAGGGCTGTCCTGCAGTGTTCTGGCCAATGTTTACTTCTCACCCAACATCGCTAACACGGATCGTCTTCACATTACTGGCTGGCCCATTGTCTGTGGGACTTTACTGTGAGCAGTTTGGATGTTGTATTTCCTACCTCATAAATATGATAAGACTTCAAAGTACTTAATTGGCAGTAAAATACCTCAAGACCTTTTGAGTTTTTGAATAAATTCTTTGTTCCTTGAACTCTTTTTGGGTCAGTCGCTGTGATTTCAATTCAGGTAAAAAGGACTTGGATTTATATGATTCTCCTGATGACCATAAGATGGTCCAAAGCTTTTTACCAACAATTATGTGTTTCAGTATTGATTGATCGCTAATTGTTGATCAGAACACCATCAATAACTCCCTCACTGTTCTTCCAAACAGTTCCTACAATCTTTTGTTTCCAGCTGTAAGAATCAACAAAGCTACAATGGCAAGTGTCATTAGGCAGCCTGGTTTCCCCACCATGTTGCCAGGCCAGATCTAGGATTTTAACCATTAGTTCAATCTACTTTTGGATAGCAGGCAAAATGCATTGGCACCAACATGGCAGCCCACTTTAAGTGGCAATGATTGTATTAGAATCCAAATCAGAGAAAATTTACCCTGAAATGGAAAGCAATATAACTTTCCTGTCAATGAGGAAGCTGGTGAGTAAGATGGTAGTTCATGTCTTGTCATTTAGTGTTGTAGCCCAGAGTTTCAGTGTACTGCAGTGCATCATCACCACTCATCCTCAGTAGTATGGTTGTTTGGTAGGTATTAAGGGCTTACCACCAATAGCTATATACACATAGCATTCCAATCACCACCCAATAGGATTATTGACCTTTAAAAGACCTGGCCAACCCTGTTTACATATATCACCAAAATACAAATTAATTCATTTTAGGAACCTCTAAACAAGAGCAGCCCATTATCCCCTTAAGCCTGTACTGCCATTCAATTAGATCATGGCTTGTCTATATCTTATCAACATCCTCCCACTTCAGTTTTGTGACACCTTGTCAGATAGCCAAAACAAAAAGGCTTGCAGTCTCTGTTTTGAAATCTTGAATTGATTATTATCCATTACCTGGGCAAACATGCTCTGAATTTAACACTCTACCCTCCACGCTCAATTCCCTCTCCAGAAGGATTAAATTCTCTCTACATGACCCTTTTATTTCTTTTAATCTTCCTTATAGATTATACCAATTACATTGCCACTTAATCTTCTATGTTCAGGAAATAGAAATTTAACAATCTGTCCTTGTAGTTTAATGCTTTTCATCCAACATTTCCTTTTGTAGTGCCTAGAATGGATTGTACTGCTCGAAATGGAGAAACCACAATGTTGTATAGCTAGCAGAAATTTTAGCACTTTTTCAATCCAGTTCCCTTAAGATAAACGTCAATGTTCCATTGCTTTTTCTTTTGTAGCTGTGCACTAATCCTTAATGGTTTTAGCACTGTTCCTCTTTTCCACACCTTTTTTGTTCATCATTTAGAAAATAACTTAATCTACTTTTGTGAATCTAAAGTGGATGTCCTCACACTTTCCCACATTGAAAACCACCTGCCATAGTTTTGCCTATTCACTTAATCTAGTAATGTTATTTTGCAACTTCACTCCCACCATCACTACTTATTGTGCCATCTAAATTGGTGTCTTTTGCAAACTTAGGACACATTTCTTCTGCCCTTTTGTAATACTTTGGGCTCTGACAGAATATTTCCCCTTCTAAGCACAATGTCAGAAAAAGGAAATAACTTCTACATACCCAAGCTGGGTCAGCAAAAAGTTAACAGAGAATGTTTTGAGGTTTTGGTGATCTCCATCAAAGCAAAGCAGTTGTTAAGCTTGCCACGAATGTTTTGCAGCTCTCTTTCCATCAGCTGTATTCGCTAACACTCCTTTTCTTCCTGACTACTCTATTTCTTGGTGGCATCATCCTTTACCACACTGACCTGGTTATCATTATGAAATGTGCAAATTTTTGTCAAGATTAATTCCCACTGATTAAAGTTCAAGTAACAACTCTTTAACAGGAAAAATATAATTTTAAAATTAAGCTCCAAAACTTTAAGAATCCATTATCAGTTTTGACTTACTATATGGGATTGACATATTAACATACAATGTTATAAAAACTAGTGTAAATCTGCAATATTTTTGATGATGCTAAGGATCTACACTGATTTATATAATCTATACATTCAATTACGTTAAATTTTTCAATCATATCATCGTTTAATTCTCTTTTCACACTACAAACAATTCTACCTCCATAAATCTGTGCTTAAGGTCTTGATTTTTAAAACTAGGATCAATCATAGTCCTTCTCCCCTATATATTTCCCAGTACCTGAAAATTTTTTCATATGCACAACAACTGGAGTTTATAGATTTCCTTTCACCTATTGCATATTCAATGGATACCACCATTATTCTCAACAGTTCTTTAATAAATGTTGGATGATACAGCAACATTTTTGTTGCATCATCTCATTTTCCATGGGCCCCTGGAGAAGATTCTTATTGCATTGGGTTGATCTTAGAACAAAATTCACCAAAGATCCTCAGACAGCATCTTCCAAACCCACGGCTACTTCCATCTAGAAGGACAAGGGCAGCAGATACTTGGGAACACCACCACCTTCAAGTTCCCCTCCAAGACAATCATCATCTTGACTTGGAAATATATCACCATTCTTTCACTGGGTCAAAATCCTGGAATTCCCTCCCTAATAGCATTGTGGGTCAACCCACAGCAGGTGGAATGCAGTAGTTCAAGAAGACAGCTCACTACCACCTTCTCAAGGGCAACTGGGGACTAGCAATAAATGCTGGCCAGCCAGCGACGCTGAAATTTGAACCCAGCTCACACAGTGAAATTTGAACCTAGCTCACCCAAGATCAATTGACTGTTAATGTATTACGAGCTGTTACATGTCATGGACGCCAGTGAAGTGTAAAATTAGGCAGGTATAAAATAGCAGGCAATCTAATTGTGTTTTTAACCTGGCATAATTAAAATTGTCCCTCCAAGTGTTTGACTTTCCATGTACCGTCCATTCTGTTCGCCAATATTAATATCTCGTGGACCTAACTCATCAGTTAAACAGATGAAACATGAAAAGCATTTGTTCAGTTTTTTGCTGTTTTTTTTTTGTTTCAGATTGACAAGTGAATAAGTTCCAGGTGCAATGGACTGGGGGACTCTGCAAGGTGTGCTCAGTGGGGTGAATAAATATTCAACTGGATTTGGACGGATCTGGCTGTCTGTAGTATTCATCTTTCGAGTATTGATTTATGTGGTGGCAGCAGAAAGTGTGTGGGGAGATGAGCAGAGTGACTTTGACTGCAATACCCAGCAACCTGGCTGTCCAAATAGTTGCTATGACCATTACTTTCCCATTTCCCACATTCGTCTATGGGCTCTGCAACTAATCTCTATCACCACACCTTCCCTGATGGTTGTCCTTCATGTAGCCTACCGAAAAGAGAGGGAACGGAAGCACAGATTGAAGTATGGTGAGAATTGTTCCCAATTATACAAAAACGCAGGGAAGAAACATGGTGGGCTCTGGTGGACCTATTTGATCAGTCTAGTGTTTAAAACCGGTTTCGAAATCACTTTCTTATATATACTTCATCGAATTTATGATCGTTTTTATTTACCTCGTCTTGTCAAGTGTTCCATGTTCCCTTGTCCAAATATCGTTGATTGTTATATTGCCAAGCCAACTGAGAAAAGGATCTTCACATACTTCATGGTTGGAGGATCAGCTCTTTGTACCATCCTCAACATATCTGAAATACTATACCTACTTTTCAAACGATGCTTTCGATGTTGCAACAGGAGAAACGAAAGGGAAGAGGAGAGCATGGCAAAGTCAAGAGGAAAAGAGCTTCGTAAAGGTACTCTCGAGAATGGGATTATGCTGGAAGAATGCAACCACAAGGCCTAACAAGCAATGTTGCCAATCAATACCAAAATAGTTTTCAATGACATATTTTGGAAAAGCTTAATATGAACAACATCTTATTTTCACCAAAAGAGATACTATGCTCATAAACAAATAGGACTCAGTGAGCAAGGACTGCACAAAGCCATCTGTATCAGACTGGCTAAGAATTGAGAGTATGCATGCCAAATTCAGTTTGACTCTCATCTTTCTATGTCAGTTGAAATGCTTTTCATTGTATTAAGAGCAAGTATAACCTGTAGCTTCAACACAGTATTGGGGGCAAGTCTTTGAATTATCTCCAAGGTTTTCAATCCATGTCTTTATGATGACAAGTCCCCAGTGGAATGTGGAAACATTGCTCAAGTTTGTGTTTTCGTTGGACCAGCAGATGCATAGCTTATGGAACATTACCACTGGATAAGCAACAATATGAATAGAGTCTATTCATCAAGAGACAGTCAAGGATTTGGAGAAAATCAGTTCATCAGTAGGAGTAAAAAGGACATGAGCAGAGCATAGGCAAGCAAGTGAAGCGCTGAAAGCACATCATCGCGGCAGATATGACAGTTATGGCACTACAGCCATAGCTGAAATGTACTCAGACAAGAAGAACAATTGCTGCAGGAGATGTTGAACTATCAGTAGAAAACCTAGAAGTATTGTGGAGGATTATGAAATATTTGAAATAATAGACGAATTACACGATGAACTGTATAAAATGCCAGTATAGAGAATCACAGAAAATCTCCTGATTAAAAATAGAACTTGACTTAGACACTGTGTAGATCAATGGGCCTTTTTGTAAGTGAGGCAAATTTCACAAAGTGATTCCAAAATACCAGTTATAGGTATTGAGAACAGAATTTGATTTATAAAGTCACCATTGAATATGCCTCAGATTTTCTATGTTCTATGTTCTATGTTTTCAGCTCAGCAATCTAAACTGAGTATCGCAGTTCAATGCTGAAACATTGCTGTATTGTTGGAAGTGCCATCTTTCTGATGAGATGTTAAGTCAAGGTCCTGCCTGCCTCCTTGGATGGATGTAAAGGATTTTTATGTATTATTTTAAAAAAGAGCTGAGTAGATGATTCCTGGCTAATAATAATTGCTGAGTGAGCAACACAAAACAAAGGTGTAATTAATTTGTGGGATCCTTCAATACACAATTCAACCCACATTTTCTACATTACAATAAGTGAATACAGGCGCAACAGAAATTAAAACATTTCTTTCTTCTTGCGATTTGAAAAAGGTGACAGCGAATACTTTATTCAAGATTCAGAAACAAAGATGCTGCAGTTGTTTACAGTTTGGAAATACTTCCGGTAATATATCAAGAGGCGGGGAAAGAGGAATGTCACCATACTCCTACCAAACCATAGGGCTGCACTCTTATTAGAGAGAGATGATGGGAATGTGGTTTCATGAGTGATGAAAGAAGTCTCTAGTATGTAGACAATCTGTTGCTGACAAGCACATACAGCACAGAAAATAGAAAGAATGGAAAAGCACATCACTGCCTAATTAGCATCCAATTTTTATTTAGTGAAGAGCTGCATATGCATTATCAACAGTTTTACGCTGTCAGGGAAGAGCCTCAGTGCAATTTGGTTGGTCTTCTCTCTCAACTACCTTTACTAAGATTAAGAGAATGGCACTATGGCACAATGCATACATATGGATACCAGGTTAAGTCATTAAAAACGCCAACTGTAACAAAAACAATTGTATTTGTACTGCTCATGAAATAAAGACTTTAGCACAAATTGCCAAACTGCCTGCAGACAGAGGACATTGCAGTTTTAGTCAAATAATAATCAGTGTTGTATATAGTGTTGTTTCTTTTACTTTACACTTTTGTTTACAGAATGCGTTCATTATCACTGGCAGAGCCAGAGCTTATTCCCCAACATTTAATTGTGTGGCTTACTTAGCTATTTCATACTCATCCACATTGTATGGTACTGCACATTTATTGCAGACGTGCCTACTTCAAAATAGAGAAGCCTTCCCTAAAGTTTGGATATTAATGAACTAAGGGAGTTTTTACATGGTCACCATTATTAATAACAGCATTTTAATTTCAATTTTAAAAAAAAATGAAGTTTAAATAAACCAGACGGCGTAGTATGATTTGAAATCATGTTACTCGATCATTAGTCATGGCTTCTGGATTACTAGCTCAATAACCATAGTGCTACTGTTCCCTCACCATTGAATTTAGTTGAAAACTTGCCCTCAATAAAGCATTTCAATAGTGTACATCATAATTCTTAATACAGAAATTGCAGATAGTTACAGATTTTAAATGACTCGCACTGTTATAATTTCCTAGAATTTCTGCAGTGGTCCACAAAGACATTCATTGAGTGACTTGTTAACATAGCATGCTCCATTCAAATCAGTACAATATTGAGCATTCAGAATTAATCTAATTGTGATCTTTGTTATCATTTGCAACATTGCAGAGTACTGCTAGAGGGCTTAGAATCAGAAAACAACTCAATCACTTCTCAGGCTCAATTAAACATTATAACAGGTGATTTGACAAATAGGCATGTGCTGATTTCCCCAACCTATACTATTTTATATTAATATTTATTGATCTTTTTGCACTAATCATGGATTGTAGAAATTAAATATGGCTAAGATTATGCACAAGAGAGGCCCTCATGCTTCTATTATTTATTTATAGTAAGATTTCAGTACAAACTCTGTCAAATTGGACTTGGCCTGATAGTCTGCCTGTACATACCGTGATCCATGCTTTTGTTATCAAAATGGAGCCAATACTCATGAGCATATCTCTGCAAAACAGCCCATTGCTGTCTTATTAGTGGAGTCCTGGCATCTTAAATGTACATCAGACATTTTCCATATCACTCTTTACCCACTATTATAACCACTGTGATGAATTTTAATTATCCTTAAGCACTGAGATTTTGGGAGGTCACCTGTCTAACTTAAGATTCTTTAGTTCCATCCTTTCAGAACCACAACCACTTAGTAAAGCTCTCTTACATTAATGTCCTGTGTACATTATAACATGTACATTCCATACCATGAGCATACTATGTCAACAAGTTGCTTTTGAAGAATAATTTCATGAAAGAAATTGCCATCCTGAATTGGGTTGTAGCTGCCCATTAGAAAAAGCTGAATGTTGGAATGTGAAAGGGCAATGGTATCATTATCTATTATTAGATCTCATCTCTCAATGAAAAACTCAAACTGTGTCTGGAAGTGACTATTCGAACTTTGTACCAAAAGAAGGAGATAGCCCTGGAGCCTGAATTTCAGACATAAAGACTCTCAAAAAGTATATATAATTTTTTTTCTATCTTTATGTTACATGTTACATTTGATATATTGTTACTGCTGTGTGCAGGTTGCAAATAAATAGTTTTACATATATGGAGTCGCAAACATAATTTGTTTTGTTTAGCAAGAAGTCTAACACCATATTTAAGAGTTTCCAACCAAGCTGCTGCACAAGTTTTTTTTGTGTAGAGAGATCCCTAACTAAATCCAGGGAAATTGGGCTTAGGTTGACAGCAGTCAAGGTTTTGGATCTTATGGTTTACCTTGACCAGAAACTAAACTGGGATAGCCATACAAAATACAGTGGCACGGAGAGCAGGTCAGAGATGGGGAAGTCTACAATGAGCAACTTCTCACTGAGTCACCAAAGCCCCATGTGGGCACAGGTCAGGAGTGTGGCAGAATAGTCTCCACCTGCCTGGATGGCTGCAGCTCCAATGACACTCAAGAAGCTCAACAACATCCAGGACAAAGCAGTCGATTGATTACCATTTCATTCACCTTATACATTTACTCCCAGCCCATTGATGCATATGCATTGGCAATTGCATGTTCACCTACAAGACGCACTCGTCAAATCTCTTCAGCACTTTCCAAACCCACAATCTCTACCATCTCAAGGAACAAAGGCAACAGATACACGGGAACACCACAACCTGCAGGTTTCCCTCCAAGCTACACACCGTCCTGACCTGGTACTAGCTAACCATTCCTTCGCTGTTACTGGGTCAAACTCCTAGGACTCCCTTTCTAACTGTCCTGTGGGTATCCACACACCATCTGGACTGCAACTGTTCAAGAGGGCAGCTCACCACCACTTTGTCAAGGGCAACTAAGGCTTCACCTTTAGAACAATGGATTATATAAGCTTATCTGGAGTTGAGTACTCTCATGGTACTCTTCATTTCAAAGTTCCATAATGAGCCACAATGACTTGGTGCAATCTTCTATCAGGTTTTTTAATGTGCAAATTTCAGCCCAATGAGTTATCTCTTGTTTGTAATAGACAACAAGAGTTTATATTTAGATTGTGCCTTGAAAACAGTTCACAAGAGCCTCACTACAACGATATAAACTATCATTCCAATTTGAGACACATTTGGAGATGTGGGGCAGATGATCAAATTTGGTGAAGATGTTGTTTGTAAAGAGCATTTTAAAGAAGGAAAGCAAGATAGATGGTGAAGTTTAGAGGGCAAATTCTAGGGCCTCAGGCCCTGGTACCTGAAGGTATAGCCACCCAAAGGTGCAGCGACTAAAATTGAAAATGTTCAAACGACCAAAATGGATGGAGTACAAATATCACAGAGAGTTGTAGGACTGGATTACAAAAATAGGGATTTGAAAAGGTGGCTGAGAATTTCAAATTAAGGTGCTGCTTGACCTGGATGCAAGGTAGGTCAATTAGCACAGTAGTGTTGGTTGGTGAACATAACCTGGACTAAGCTATAGGATGAAAGTGACAGAGGCAGATAACTGAATAGTCTTAATGACAAGGAGCTTCATGATCTCCTCAAATTGATGGAGGTGATTTACAGTAGAGGAAGAAGAAATCAGGGTTAATCTATGCATTTCAAGATGAGCCTGGAAAGTGAGCAATTTTAGAAGACAAAGACTTTATGCATTCCAGTCAGATCTGGCAGTGAATTGTTAAACCAATTGTAATCTGTATTCATTCTGCATGCCTTGGATTTAATGGAGTGGAGAAAGAGCTGTACCTTGGGAACAATCAGGGTGAGAAAGATTTATGCTTCGAAAAAGTACTCTGGTGAATGGAAGAACAAAAGCAAAACAGTTAGAGTTTTACATTTGAAAGTGACAGCTGACAGGTATGGATTTGAGGACACATCGTGTAGATTCTTCTTGGTGGGCTTAGTAAAAGAAAAGAAAGAACATGTGAGCACATTGCAGCATTCTGGTTGCAGGATGAAAATCACTCCAATTCCCATTAACTTGTAGTTTTGCCATAATTTCAAACAATAAATATGTCTTAAGATGCCATAAACTTTGGGACTTCACTGTCATCATGTTTTACTAACGTGTAAGTCACAACAATTGTTTAAATAAATCAAATTGCTTATGTTATCTCCACAGATTCAAAGTCTTCATTACACACAACAAATAACAAGTAATCAAAATATTATGATCCCAATTGATGTTATTTTTGGGGCAATTCAGGTCTCAATTGAAATCTGGCTGGATAGATCTTATTGTGAATTTTTTCTTTGTTTTAATGAAGTGGTGCCTCTCAGAAATATAAATACATAATGTTGTAGATTTTTTTCAATAAAACAAAGTTTATCGTGCAAAAGAAATGAAAGTAAAATAGTCCAAACTATTTACAAATAACACACATTTGAAGATTTTGTAACAGATTATTCCATTAATCCCAAAGGCACTTCTTTAATGTACTCACACCAGATAGAATTCCTATCTCAATCACCCCATTGGAGATAATTTAACAGTAGCTTCACCTTCCAGGCTTGACCCTCTGATAGCCTCATTCTGCAGCCATTATACAACTGAAATTACATTTTTCCAATTTTAAATAACCCCTTCAGTGTTATAACCAAACACTTCTGAATTGGAACTTAACTCCTTAAATTGACGAAATCTATTTTTAACAATTCTGAACAGTCTTTCTTTATCAGGAGAAACTGCAGCCAAGATCAAGCTTTAGCCAAAACTCAAAGAATCATCCAGCTGAAACTGTGCGAGAAAGTACTTTTTTTTATAAGTTATAATCACTTCATCTAATCAAAAGAAAAAAGAAGTCACTCCACAGTCTTTTCCAAACTAGATCCTAATACACAACGGTTAACTTTGTTCACTTGTAAAATTCTCCCAATGTAAATAAAAATCCCTTACCTCGCAGGAAGTCTTACTCTCAAAGTGTTTTAAAACAAATCATCATGCCTGCAGAAATACTTAAAAGTTCATTATTGAACCTGTTCAGATACACAGCATGAAAATAAGGTAACAGTGGCCTTTGTTATTTAAGCACCAATTGAACAATGAATTCTGGCACTCATATGTTAAATGTGTGTTTTATGGTTTCTTGTGTCAAACACCACTCTCAGTGTGATATGGTCTGAGTATTTCCCCATATGTAAGCCAATGTAACACACAGTGAATTGGTCCTTGTTAAGACAGATGTCTTGTAGTTTATTAAATACACTGACTAGTTACACTGTTATAAGATCTCAGGCTTACATATAGTCTGGGTTCTGTGCTGACTGATATTACAGCTACATTATATGACCGTAACACTACAGATCGCTGATAGAACTTACTGCATATTGCACTGACTCCATTGATCTGTGCTATGACTACTGAGGTGGAACAAGGACCGTTATACTGGAACATCATATGTTGGAATTTTATCTAACTGCCATAATGGGACACTGCTTGGCTCAGTGGTTAGCACTGCTGCCTCACAGCACCAGGGACCTGGCTTCAATTACAGCCTTGGGCGACAGCCTGTGTAGAGTTTGCATGTTCTCCCTGTGTCTGTGTGGGTTTCTGCTGGGTGCTCTGGTTTTCTTTCACAGTCCAAAGATGTGCAAGTTAGGTGGATTGAATGTACTAAATTACTCGTAATGTTCAGGGATGTGTAGGTTAGGTTAATTAGCCATGGGAAATACAGGGTTACAGGAATAGGGTAGAAGGATGGGTCTGGGTGGGATGCTGTTTGGAGGGTTGGTGTGGACATGTTTGGCTTAATGGCCTGTTTTCACACTGTGGGGATTCTATTAAAAAAAATTGATTTGGGATTTGCTATCTGAGATGCATCTTTGTCCTCTTTAGCTGCTGAAATTCGTATTGCATCATTTGAGTCATTTTTTTGATTATGTGAGTGAACTGAAAGTCCTCTCCTGACGTAGTAGATATTGGTTAAATGCACCAAAATCAGATAGGATTTGCCCATTTGTAGATGTGCTCTACATTAATTTAACAGTGTGGCATAATTATTGCCAGACATCTTCTGAAACTAGCTTTAACAATTGCAGGGCTGGATTTGGTATTCCTGACAATGAGTCCTGTTTCTGGTTAAAGAAATGGTTGAAGACTAACATCGGTCTGATAGGGGGAGACCTGACTAAATTAAATATGTCAAGCCTTCCCCAAGATTTTGGACCTCAGAGAGAAATCCAATGTCCCATGAGTGAAACTGGCATGTCAGTGTCACTGGGACCACTGATTGCTGCTCATACTATACCTACCAGCGACACAGCAGCAACAAGGAAACCAGGTCTCAAGTACATGATGGAGCAATGGATGTTCCAAGGACTAAGTCCACTGGAAAAAAGGAGAGGTGACTCAAATGCAACACCAGTAGATGGCAACCACCTCCCTACAATTTCCGATTCCTCGTCTGCCAATTTGGGCACTTTGCATCATTGAGAAGAGCCTTTCGGACCCAAGCGTCTTTGGGGGAATCCCTAAGCCACCTCTACATCCCGTTGAGGTCAGGGATAATGACCTTTAAGTGGCTCATCGATGAGCCTAAATAGCCAGTGCCAGGTTCCCCCCATCAGTTAATTGCCATTGCTGAGTTAATGGGGGTCAGTTTTCCCGACAGAGGGAATGGGGTTCAGAGCTTCTCCTTCAACGTGGGGGTGTCACCTCCTACCTAGCCAAGAATCTGACTCCTTTGGGGCCCTCTTGTGGCACAGTGTTATTGCCCCCAGTCCTAGACTGGGAGGCCCAGGTTCAAGTCCCACCTGCTCTAGCAGTGTGTAATAAGATCTTTGAACAGGTTGATTAGAAAAAACATTTTAATAAGAAATATAAAAGAATCTCATTTTTTCAGTTTTATACATATATTGTTGGGGATAAGAAGAAATTGCATTTTTAAAAAAAATTGGTTTGATTCCTGGCCTGTCTCTCTCTTAATATCCTATTTAATTCCCTCTGTTTTCTTTTCTATATCCAATATGATGTTAAATTTACTTTTCTAACTTACACTGCTAGATCAGACTCTTCAATTCTAGGTAAAAGAGTTGCACTACCCATATAGATCACAGATGCGATGTTGAGGGGTAATTGACTGACAGGAATATTGGTCAGAAAGCCAAGAAAGTCTATGACCA